CGATTCTTAGATGCATCGCGATGGGGACGTGAACGATTCTGAATCGATTCACAAATGTCAAAAATCGATTTTCTAAATATTTAATTTATAACGTAATGTTGACGGAACGCAAAAGGCGGAACTTGGAAGTGGGTACGTGCAGCGCCCGGACACTCTGTGGCGGCACATAACAAAAACACAACTGGATGAGTGAGAAATCCGACCGGCTCCCTCTGCATTAAAGCCAGGTTAGATCAGGAGTCACAACCCAAATGATGAGAAGAGCCATTTAGACCTTTCAACAAAGTCAGACCACCTTGGTCGCCGCAACATTTAATGTCCAGTATGTCTCAGTGTGTATTAATGTCCTAGTATGGGCTAAAAATGTAAGTTAAACGAAAACGCAGATTTAACTACTTCGCTCTGCTTTAAGCTTCGTCTACAGCCGCTTTCCTCCCATCTCCGCCAGAAAACTTTTCCTTAAAAGTAGACCAGTTTCTTGTAAAATGTCTCTCATCGTTCGACTGTTTTATGAGGCTGAAGTCGCTTCTCGTTCTCCAGCTTCTTGTTTGAATTTTCCCGTTCCACCTTAAATTCTGCCTGAGGCGCCGAATGTAAATGCGGCACCGTTTAAGGTGGACCGGGAAAATTCGAAAGAGAAGCGACTTCAGCTTCGCCACTTTTTAGTGTGTGACAGTCTCTCGTTGCAGATTTAACGTACCAGGAAACCAACTGCGCTGCTTATAAATGCGAATAAGTCTTTTCGTTCGCTGCTAGCCAGGCGAGACTTCGTTGCTAAGTGACCGGCAGTCTGCAGGCCAGTTCTCAGCCGTTGAGAACCAGGGATTTCGCGCTATGTTGCACACGTCCGGTCTCGAAGATAAGTTATGAAATCTCTAAAGAAAACGAGTAGAATAGCTGTAATGTGCTGCATGGACATCTATTACCACTGGATCTCATGTCACCCTAACAACGCATTTTATCGCAGATGAGTGGCAGCAGCGTCTCATGTGCTCCAATTGGTTAATAATTGGTTAATCATTAGAGTCCCAACATATTTACTAGTCATTTCAAGTAGATATGCTAGTGTGGTTTCTTACACACTGTTACCTATGAAAATGGACAAAAGAACATCACATACCTAAAAAAGTATTATTCCTTAAAGTTGCAGAATTGGCTGAGCTATTCTTACGTAAAAGAAGTGCAGAATAAAAATTTTGCGTTCGCCAGTGGGCCCTGGCCATTTAGGGGGTTAACAACCATCTTGAAGCCTGAATTTTGTCAGTTTCTATAGATAACAGTAAGCCATACAGTGAATACAGTGGTAGTGAAGTCTTTTTAGCACTGCTATATCTAAAGCCCAGTCAAAGTTAAGAAGCTCTGACAGTGCCACATCTTGAGCCATTTGTGGTAATCTGTTATCTGTGTATTCTTAGACACTGGGTGCTGGTTTTGGAGATGGATTGTTAGGAATCGTGGGAAGGCTCCTTGGCCTTTGTTATTGTGGAGCCTGTAACCTCAGTGATGGAAACAATAGCAGGAAATTCACTTGGGTGGAGGCAGAGTGGGTTCCTCAGTCGCTGCCTTCCTCATTGGCTGCCAGCATTGAGAATGAGCGAGATGTTGCTCCTCTGGGAAAACGAAAGAATGTGTGCATGCATGTGCCTTGTAAAGGGAATGGATCTCATTCATGTTTGCACTCTGTGATGGCCTATATGACCCTTCATGCTGCAAACCAAATCATTGAGTGGCATGGTTGTAGTGTTTGGAGTTTCTTGCCATTTTTCATTGAGAAAACTTCAGGCACAAAGAACTATCATAACAGTAACAATCAGAACGTTTGCCTGATGTTGTCATTGTTGACAATGTTTTTTCAGCTCTAGTAGTTAAATATGTTGTTTCATATGACAGAACTATGAGCTATTATTTTTGGCTAAATCCCTTTTTTTCTTCTGAACCAAATATCCAATCATTAACTTTTATGTATAGTCAGATATCAAACCTAGTCAGAATGCACATCTCTAGTGAAGGCTATGGTTGCTAAAAGTTGTTAGCGAAGCAGATACATGAGGAACCCAGTGAAGACAACAAACTTGGCAGTTTACTTTAAAACACATTGAAAATCTCTGTCACAGTCTGCACAACTGCAGACCTTTCCCTTGCATTAGAGATTTCTATTATCCAATCCTACACTAAGCAATACAGAATATAGTTAGATTTATGTGCTAATGGAAAGCAGCGTGAGCTAGCCTAATACCAAGAGCAGCAAGAAGAAATGCAGTCTGGCTGTGTGTCCCGAAGGACAGCGCTCATCTGAATAAGCAAGAGTGTTTAGTATGCTTGTGGTGTGTGTCTTCACCTTGAGCACAAATGCAATTTTCTCTTCTAGTACTGTGTAAGCAAGTGGGGCCAGTTATGAGCAAGCATAAGGCCATAAAGCTGTAGAGATGCTGCAAGTCAAAGCATTTATGGAGGCTTTTATAACAGGAAATGTGAAATTGTATTAGTCCAACAGCTCTGGAATCATTTCTGGCTTCTGCTTTCCAAAAAATACAACTCTGTGGACAGCTAAAGATGTGGACAGCACATCAGCATTCTGAGCCTTCGCTGTTTGACAAATATGGACTTTGGATTCTGTCCAGTTAGCTCACAGCTGGAGCCGAGTCTGAAAACTGTGAATGCTCTCTGAATAGCAATCATGCTAACGAGGCAAGCCTGGGATCCATCTTCTGACTCACTGAAGTTTAAATTGCATTCTGAACGCAGGCAGGATCGTTCTTCTTTAAAGAGTGTTATTTGCAGAATTACAGGGACTGTTATTATGCACACTAGAGCTCACTTAAACTGAAGTGATGACAGACTGCACAGGCCGGGAGAACAGAAGCATATAATGTATCAGCCCGGAAAAATGACGTTTGTGCTAGCCCACACTTTAATACACAGTGTCACTGCTCCCCCATCCCTTTGGAATTTAAAGGGCAATTCTAGCCAAAAATTAAAATGTAACCATTGCTGTTGTAAATGTGCCTTCTTGCATTCTACATTGGTACCACAGTAGTCTTTAGAGTAAGATCTTTTTGGTTTTAACCCCTCAAAATCTCAGGCTTATTATATATTAAAGCCCTATTCGGATGGGATTAGTTTTACATGAGGAGATGGGTAATGTAATCATTACCAGCATTTCTCAGTGATTTTAGTGCGCCATGTCAGTTATTTTTACGGCCTTCCCGCGTCATTAAAGATTCCTTTGCTTTTTACCTTCTGTAAAACAAGCCATAAAAATTATCTCAGGTTTTATTAATCCCGTGCGAATCAACATGTCAGTGAAAACACTATCAAGTCCTGTGAAATTGTAGTTTCTTAAGTATGGAGACACTCAAAGAAGCTTTCTTGTGTTCTCTGACGAGGCTGAAGTCAATGCTAATGACACGCTGCATTCACTTAAGACAGAAAGATAAATGTCAGGGTGAATGAAATAATGGCTAAATTGAATGTTCTAACATCTTTTCTACACTTTTCTGGAGTAAAGGCAGCGCATGAATCGAGTAGCCACTCCCATCTCTGTCATTTATACTGAGATTTCTTATCCCATGCAAATCGATTATAAACATTACCGTCGTTCTGAGGTAAACTAGTATTACCCCACCTCCCCATGGTAAACTAATCCTGTTCGAATAGGGCTAAAGGCTTATTTCTCAGTAACTACAGGTACTTTAATAGTGGCAGATGTTTTTAGGTAATTGAAGTGTGTCTTAAGGCCATTTAAAACACAAAATTATAGAAAATTGTGAATTCTGTCAAACTAATGAGGCTGAGGTATATAATACTGTACTACATAATAGTACAAAGAACATGACAAATAACTTACTAAAAGCTAGTTTTAGGCTAAAGTGCCCTTTTTAACACATCTTTTAACATCAGTCTGGTCTTTTGCTGTAACCCATATTCCTATATAAATCAAATTCGTAATTCCTGTACACACGGTCCGTTCTCTTCTTATATTTTATGTCTTGCTGTCTGTTACTTTATCCTTTATATATCCTAGATAGTGCTGGTTCTAGCCTTCTTGAGGCCTTAAGCAAAACCTGAGCTGGGGCCCCTTCTGCTAAACTACATATCTTCATCCTTTGCCAAAGTAACATTAAACTTTCATACACAACCCTTAATTCCCCTCACAATCATCTGTTAATCATCTTGTTAACTTAGTAGTTCTTAACTTTAGAACTCAGTTTGGAAAAGCATCACTAGCTATGCAGCTGTTGGCCCATTGATGACAAAGCTTGTGGTCCACTGGTGTTTTGTTCAGTGTTTTCTGGGCGGCCCACCGGTGGTTAAGCAGAGTATTAGACAAAATTCCACTTATCATCACTTATTTTGTACTCACAGTACAATTTACTTATTTTTCTTCCTATCTATCTGTAGTTTTTCTTTGTAAGTTAGTTTAGTAAATAATTTTAATCTAGCAAAGTGTCAGCAACAACATTTTCTACAAAATCATTTTCTATAAGGCCTAGTCATTTTTTTAATGTTTGTAATATTTAAATAATATAAGTTTTTTTCTAAAATAAAAGTCTCTGTGCATTAAAAAGTTAGTTAGAGCTTGTATGCAAGACAATAATCTGGGTGGTCCGAGGCTGGACCAGCAGTGGCAAACATTTAGTGAGGTGCTGACCTTATCAAGCAGGTGGACTGATATTTGTTTGCTATCTGGGATAAAGCAACCTTTGTGTTTTGGTAAGAACACAATTATAAGTTATCTTTTTTCCAGAATATATGACAGATGATACAATATAAGCTGCTTTAGTAAGATGCTTCACACAGATTAATGTAGGGTTATCCCCTGATAGTCCACCAGTTGACTAATCAGTTGTCACCAGACTAATTGCATTTATTTTTGCCACTGAGTTGTTGTTAAAATTGTCAGTTTTTCAAATGGAAATTTGAACAAAGTTGGTGAAGTTAGGGTCTTAGGCAGTGGTTTTATATCTATAAATGATGGAATGTTTTTATATCCTCCGCAGATTGGAGTCAGAGATCATACAGCTGGAGAACGAAGAATTGCAAATTTCCGCCAAAGAGCAAGTGCTCAGAGAGAGACTGCGGGAAACAGAGCGCTCTATCGAAGACCTACAGAAAGTAAGATGTTCTGACTGGCCCTCATTACAATGAGAGCACACACAGATACACACACATGCAGTGTTCTAACTGTAGCGTGCTGGTGGGTGTGAGGAACACAGATACAGCATCATGTGAAACCAAAAGGTCACAGGGGAGAAAAATGTGGAGAGCTTTATTTAGTCTGAGCCAGAACAGAAGCACTTTTCCATTTTCATCCACGCCATAATCCAAGTTCCAAACCACAAAGTTTGCTTTGTATGAGCATGCCTTTCATCTGATTTCAGACCAGAAAAACACTGTCTTTCTTTTTTCTGTTTGCAGAGTCTGCAGAACCAAGATGGAGGTACGGGCACAATGTTCCAGCTTATTCTTTCAGCTAAGCATGAAAATGGAATTATTTTATGTTTTGAAGCGATAGTTTGGGTAAAAAATGTTAATTTTACCCGTAGCTCAAGTGTAGTCAAACAGCCAAGACATGTTTGGTGTCTAAAGTTTACTTCATCAGTTCTGAACTACAGCTACAAAGCTGTAGCTAACGAGTAATGGAAGCTTACTTACTAGTCACACTGACATTTGATGTTGAACCAAAAAATGCAAACAAAATTCATATAGAAACTGACTGGGCAGATTTTATGAAAAACATTTGGCAACAATAACTGGGATCACATCCAAAAAACTTTCTGAATCATGCTGTACTTTGGCTTAACTGCGCTTGTGAGTTTTATGTATGTCTGTGTAGCAAGACATACCAGTTAAAAAATGTCCCATATTATGACACAGCATCTCATAATTTCTACTTAGTGTCTTATAATTATGAAATACTGTCTCATAATTGGCATAGCATCTGATAATTTAAACTTACCAAACCTATGGAGATCATGTTCCATATTAATGACTTAATATCTCATAAATATGACTTGCTATCTTATAATAATGAGATCTCATGAATGAATTACTTACTATATCACAGTTATGAGATGGCAAATCATAATTATGATATTGTAAGTAATAATTTAAATTTTAAATCTCATTACTATGACTTAGTATCTCATAATAATGACATAGTATCTCATAATCATTACTTAGTATCACATAATAGTGACAGCATTTCATAATTACAAGAAAGCATTCACATTATTATGAAATAATAAGTCATTATTATGAGATCCTAAGTCATAATAATGAGAAGCTTTGTCATTATCAAGAGACATTAAGTCATTAATATGAGATGTTAAGTGATAATTAAGACACAGAATCTAATTATTGTGACATTATTGTGATAATATATGGGCTTTTTTTAGGCTTCAATGGTTAATATATATAATTGACGTGTGTACATGAAGTGATGTGTGTACATGAAGTATCTTACAAGGCTTTGAAAGTGCCTCAGCCTCATTTTAAAACCAAAACTATCAGTAGACAGTAGTTTATTTTGTGTCTTGTCTGTTTAAATGTCTATGGTTCATTTCCTGTTCATATTTTAACTGCACCAGAGTTCATTTGAAAGCGCACTGAGACTGACCTCCTCAACCTATAATCAGGGCTGAAATTTTGGTCCGAACCTGAATACAGTCCGAGAATTTTCTTTCCGAGCCAAACCCAACATACAGCATCACATTTTGAGTTTAAACCAGACCTGAACTGGCACATCCAACACCCAAAAAGCCATAAAAAAGACAGGACAGTGGCAGTTACTGTGTAATGACGAAAAAAGCCATCATTAGAGTGCAGATAAATAAATTATAAAACAATATAAATAATATGCTACAATAAAATAATCACCTGTCCAAAAATGTTTAAATTCTGCTTTAACAAATCTATTCATCAAATGATGCTTTTGAACAAACAAGAAATGTTTTTGTAGTCTGGATAAACTTTCCATGATGCACTGTTCTTTTAATTATAAAACTCTATTTCTGCACATAGAAACATATTTTTCTGTTGGAGCAAAATCTGGTATCTCCAAAATGTTAACTTCACACGAAAAGAAAAAAAAAACTATTAACTTTCGTTATTAACATTAATGGGACCAGATTTTTTTTAGACTAGTCATTTTAGACAATTTCTGCTGGTCTGTTCATCATAAAGTTTTAACACAATGTAAAGGGTAGTTTGATTTTGAAAAATTGTCAAAAAAAAGTTAGAAAAGACAAAGAAATGGAGATATAAGGGTTTTGTTTTCCTGTTTTGGTCCCTTTATTCTTTCAAGCATGGCCTTGGTGATTCCAGTGTGCCAGATTAAAAAACCATTTTAAAAAGTGAAATTCGTGAGGAATGTGGGGAGTGCAAGACAAAATGTGTTAAAAATGGAAGGCGAGCTGTAAAAACCCAAAAGGGAAATTTGAACCTGATCTGAACCCGACACATATTTGAGAAATGATGCCCAAACCCAACATGAGTTGTCGGGTCCCGTTGGGCTCAGACAAATATTTTAAGTGATATACTTGATCTGCTTATTTGATGCCTGAATAGACTCACAGTATGATTTATTATAATTAAAAATGAACAAAAGTAAATCGCATAGCTTAAAACAGCAGTAGCAGTCATCTTGAAGTCTGTACGTCTGTACTTTTGTTCTTTTATAGTTAACATTATGTCATACAGTCTCAGACACAACAAGCAAATCTATTTGAGTTACTTAATGATCAGATGTAGTTTGAGGCAAATGTGATGATTTAGGTGTGCAGCTTGTTCAGTGCTAACTTTTCAAAATTTTGTAAATATATTTTTTTGCCACATAATTACATTATTCATTACCTATATTACTAGAAATACCATCCAAAACAGAATCAAGCTCTATGCACACTTCAGTCCAAGTCCAAGAGCCTTGCTAATGACACTTGCTGCTGTTGAAGGATCTACTAGTGTGATGCTACAGCACACGTGCTAAATGCCCCTATACCCCACCTTTTGTGAGGCACTGGGGTCCCTCTCGCACACATTAGCCCCTTGGCCCATTTCCCTCTTGCCTCAGCTAGACTATTGAACGGCACACACAGAGGCAATGACTCTGCATTTTGTTTACAATGATCCACCTATTCACGGGGAATCCCTCCAACCCAGCGCCGCCATTGTTTCACCCTAATACTCTCATTCTGCTTTTGCTGTCTAAGCAATGAGCTGCTTCAGAGACAGAAAAAGAGAGAGAGAGATACTCAGTATAGCAGAGGGGGTGGGGAGGGGAGGGGCAGATCAGTGAGTTTGGGGGGAGTGGTGGGGGGTGCACAGGGATCCAGTTTTACGTCCTCTTTTCCTCTCTGCCCAACAGATGCAGTGAATTACATCTGTTCCCACATCCCTGACCTCCCAGAGCTGAACTCCCAAACTCCGGCCACAGCTTCGGGGGACCGCCAACTCCCAAGGAAACCTGGTAGGTGCTTGTTGAGGGGGTGGGAGGGGCGAGGGTGGTGCCAGGTTTGGGCCCAGGCCAGCGCTTGGCATGGTAATGAGGATTACAGATGGAGGCGCAGCGAGTCAGCACGACACCTGGGAGAGCTAAAGAGAAGCATGCTCATTCAGAAGTGCTGAAATCAAAACTTCAGGCTGGATTAAAGACTTGGGAAAACATGTAACATACAGTTGGTAGTGGCCTTCAGACAAGTTAGAAAAAAGTTACTAGTACATCTATGAAGTGCTCTTTACTGGGGATTTTGTAAAGCTGCTTAAGAGACCTGTGTTCTTGCTTTTAAGGTTTTTTTATATTTTCGCTTTACTTTGGATTGACAACAAAGCTTAACATTTTAGATTACAAGAATATGAATTAGTAATGATTTAGAAAAGAGTTTCTTTGAGACAGTTATTATCAGGGAGACCATATTTTAAGGGCAAATTGACTGATTGATTTGCCTTAAATTTCAGGTCCAATTGTTTTATCTTTGTTTTCACATCTTTTTGTGCTTTTTTTTAAAATGTTAGTTTGAGTTCTTAATCAGATAAACACATACAGAGGTTCCTTTATTTTAACGGATATATGAAGAATGGGTCTGTCTGCATACCTTTACATCCTGTTTTACATTCCTTGCATTTAATTGTTCCCAGTAATGCTTATGTTTATGTCATTGGTCAGTGTGTTAACTGCTTAAACTCTAAGTGTCTGCTGTCCTCATTCTCATAAATAGATAACATTGTCAAATAATTCAGAACTGCTAGGATTAAAAATGAAATACGAAGCCTAAGTTCAGAGTTCAGCATTCCTGCATTTCAGTAAGATAAATAATGGTGCAGGAACTGAATGTAGTTAGGTGTGGTCAGCAGCCCTTAGCTTACAGCTGTTATTGCTATGTCTATCTGTGCAAAATGGCAGGCAAAATAGTAGTAAAGACGGTAAGTCTGTTTTATCTAAGTGATTCCTCCATATTTCTATTGTAAAAATATATTATGTAGTGCATGAAAATATTTTTAATTTTTTTGAATTAACAGCTTGCCACACTGCATGCATAACAAATCTCACTAAGTGGACATTAACCCACACCCCTCTGCACTCTCCCCCTTGTCTGAAGCATTATACGCCATGGAAATCAGCGTTGAAAAGGACCTGAAGACGGGTGGCACCAAAATCCTGTCCGCCTCCCCGGTCAGCCCTGAGGATGCTCACCAGCGGGGCGTCAAGGTCTACGACGATGGCCGTAAGGTGATCTATGAGGTGCGCTCTGGGGCTTCCACCACACTGGAGAACGGCGTTCACCCCTGGAGCTCAGATGAGGTGGAGGAACTGATGGGGTGCGTGGGTCAGAGCCACCAGAGGGCCGACGGCACCCATGTCCTCATCACACCGGCTGGTCCAGAGGCCAAAGACAGCCAGCAAAGCTATGGGGAGCAGACCATGCACAAGGAGGCCAAGCAGGAGATGGTCCGTGGACAGCAGAGCAAGCCACAGGCTACTGGACAGGTCCGGCAAAGCTACGAGGGTGAGGTGATGGAGCCACCCGAGGCCACGGCCGAGAAACCGGTCACCATGATCTTCATGGGCTACCACAACGTGGATGACGAGGAGGAGAGCAAGAAGCTGCTGGGCTTCGATGGCACCATCAAGGCTGAGATTGTGCTCATTGACGAGGATGACGAGAAGTCCCTGCGGGAAAAAACCGTCACCGACGTGTCCACAATCGACGGCAATGCCGCCGACCTGGTCTCGGGGCGGCCACCCTCCGAAGCCACTGAACTGTCCTCCGAGGGCAAGGACGAAAGCTCAGCCAAGGAGCCGCCGCCCGCAGGTACCGAAAAGAAAAAACGCTGCCAGTGCTGTACTGTCATGTGACCTCCTTTTCTCCTCCGACTTCTCTTTCCTTGGAGCACATTCACCAAGGCTCTGCCTCCCTTTCCAACAAAAAACAGCCTCGCCTTGTTACTAACAGCATCTCCACCACCTCTGTGACGTGAGAAAGCACATTCTCTCTTCTCTGTCTTCTCTGACCTATTTTCCACAGAATGGCTTGCTCTCTTGCTGTCAGGTTCTCAGGACCCAGAGCAGAACGTGATTTGAGGAAAGGGTGGGATGGTCTCTAGAATAGCATATGTCAAACAATGTTTTGGGGGAAAACATGAAGCATACAAAACGATGGTAACCCATAATATCCACCAAGGAACATAGTGAACAACGAAAGAAAGAAAGAACTGACCCAGGTAATTGTACAGGATAACCATGAAAAAAACAGAAAAGACAGTCTTAAACCTGGGCACCCCAAAATATAACATTTGATACTTTCGTAGAGCTTTATAAAATGGTGTAGCATAGTTTTACTTAGATTACTCTTTGTGGAAACACATCTGATCCATATATGGTATTTCATATCTGAAAACAATTGGCATTATACCTGTTTGCCAGTTCTCATGATGTTCAGTGGCCTTACTGAAGCATTCAAACTTCACAACAACCATTGTACGCTTGGCGTGTCTTTCATTCTCCTCTGTTTACACTGGCAGGTTAGACTGTCTGAATGAGGATGGCAGCACAGCTGTCATGACTTGGACAGATCATGCAGAAAGATGGCTGCCTATTTGTGCCTCTGTATTGCCATGGTTTGTTAGGACAGGCTTTATTTATGTCATTGTTTTTTTTTTGTTTGTTTGTTTGTTTTTGTTTTTTTGTTCTTAAAGGACAAAAAAGAAAAAAGGTCACTGAACATTTAGACTGATCAGTACAAGGGGAGTCTCAAAGCTGATCTGCCATTAGGCCACTTGATCTTCTAATTTTCAGATAAAACTCATTAGATTTATTGGTGTAAATTCACTTGAACCCTTTTACATAACACGGACTATTCCATAAACACCTCAGGGCAGATGTTATATCTGCCATGAAAGATTATGTCCAGTAATACAATAGCATCATAACAGATGTCATAATATTATTGTCATAATGGCTAATAAGATTACATAGCATAATTTAGCAGGTGACAAGCAAATATGATATGATTTATTCCATGACAATAAACCATAATGGTAACATAACACTTTTATATAGACCAAATCAGGATGTTGTAAACATAAATGCTGGCTGTACTTCCGGGTGGATAATTTGCATCCAGTTAGCTCGAAAGTAAATACAAACAGAACAGATAAATCAAGTTTTCCAGGTAAAAGGAGGTAGTATCAATCCCAATGAGGGATCCTCTGTCTTCAGTAGCTTACCAACAAACAAGGTAGCTGGCTAAATTAGCCACTTTAGAGTATCATTAAATGACCAGAAGGCCATTAAATTGTTAATCGTGGTTATTCTAAACAGTTCCAGCTGTTTTTCAAGAGGGTTGCAAACAAACTAGCACTAGAACCATAAGTTCAGTTAGTTCATGTTATTATTTTTGAATGTGCAATCGGAAAAACGGCCTTATAAAGTGAATCTTTAAACCCTGCAGTGAAATGTGTGGCTGGTGCAGGTTCATATTTATATGATTAGAAATTAACCACACAAAGGTGTGACAAAGGTTATTGACCTGGAAGGACTAGTTTAAAAAAGGTTTCTCGGTTAAAAAAACTTTAGTACAAAATACTTTTGTACCAGTGCAGCGCTACCTATGTTATCCACCCAGAAGTAAATTCTGTGCAACTCCTGACAGCATATGACATCTGCCATGACATGTTTATAGCATGGTTATGTCAATGTTATGTAGCAAGGCTCAAGTAAAGTGTTACAGATTTCTCAGTAAAAAAAATCTTCAGGAAAAATGACTGTAAATCTTTGGATTTGAGCTGAAGTGCTAGGTACTGCCATTTCCTCAAATACATTGAGATAACCAAAAGCCATGGTGTAGCATATTCCTAGTTTACATACAAAAGTTGGTGCTGAGTATTATGGGACCTTTTTGGCACTTTAATAGGAGATGCCATAAGCAACTAGGATGTGTTGCACATTTACAAATACTTGAGATTATACAGTACATCAGCATCACCAGTCCACTTTAATCTCAAAGAATGTTCCCAAGCTCTCACCAGCAAACTAATCTAACCATCTCTAAGGCATACTTAAAAAACAACAGCCTACAATCTTCTTGACAGAAATACAGGGCATCATTAAAAACAAACAAAGAAACAGGGTTCTTAAGTGACAGTGTCTAGCACTTTTCCAATATTCCTCAATATTTGAGAGTTGTACTGTATTTCAGTCCAGCAAATTGACTCAAAACATCACAAAACACTGATAAGTTCGCATTTCTGTGGAGTGAATCACAAATATGTGACTTTGGTTGTGAACACAATATGCCTAAATAAACAGTGTAGATACATTTTGCTCTTAACGAGTGCCAATATGTATTTCTATTGAGGTTGAAATCCAGAAGTGATTTTAATACAGTATATATATATATATATATATATATATATATATATATATATATATATACATTGTTTGTATTTATAATGCACACCTGAATGCCATATAGATTTCGTGGTGTGGACTCTTAGGGACACATCTTATTTATTTCTAATTTATTCACTAATATTGACTGCTTTGTCATGTCTGTCATCACTCAATGTCTCTGTCTCTCCTCTGTCTTCGGAAAACACAAACACTTAGTGCCATATTGCTTCAGAATCGCACAATATGATGATGCTCAGTTGAGAAATATTATTGAGCATTAATTTCAACTGTTCTGTAGAAACTGAAATAATCTACGTGAACCGGATTTCTAATTTTGTTTTTAAGAACGCTGTAAACAGTGTGGGGTAGGGGTGAGTTTTAGGGGACATACTAGGTGCATTATAAAATTAGTTGAGCACAAACTTGACTGCAACAGCTCTTGCATGGAGAAAAAGGCCCCACAGAAGTCCATTGGAATATGCAATGCAATATCTCAACAAATCCAAAACTCTATCATAGCATTACCCTATCCTGGATACGTGCAGGATTTTATATTTCACACTAATTTTATTATGCAAAGAGGAAGGAACCATGAAAAGTTGTACATCCAAATTATTATTATCGTTATTACTCAATTGTGGTTAAACCAAATTATGCAGCTACTAATACAATCTATGTAAATACAAATGTGTGGAAAGTTATTATAATCTCTGATATTATATATATATATATATAATTATGTTTTTCACAGTCTTTATCCATCTTTGAGGAGAGACACTGCCAAATCTAACAACTATTAGCCAGTCGTTCAAGTCATAGCTTAGCAAATTTTCAAACGCTAACACTTCTGTGTGAAATTCTCAATGTTGCAGCTACAAGTAGTGCCATGTAGATAGATTCTGCTGTGAAAATTCAGTGATATTGAAAACATTGTCCCTGTTTCAGAAGTTTCAGCTTCGCAAAGGAAACATTTTAAAAAAAAGGTATAGCTTCAATAAACCTATTTACTATGGCCATAAGTGGAAAGTAACTTGTACACTGAAAAAAATATATATTGGCAAGTAAAAGCATCTTAAATGCAGGCAAAATATCTAATATCTCTCATTCATCTGGCTTTCCTGGATGTGGATTGGGCCTAGTCTTACACTAAATTGAAGTGCTAGTGGAGAACCACCACTTGAAATAATATTTAGTCTAAGCTAGGCTGAGTCAGGACCTGGGAAACTAACTCACTTTTGTAAAAATCTTATATATTATTATTCAATCATTTTGTACTGCACTGGTGATTGATTTTGCTTGTTTTCACAAATAGTGCTATAAGTTAAATTACCTTCCAGTGCAGTAAGACAATGTAGTAATACAGTTTATATCTCATGCTAATTAGCTACAATGATATCAATCATGATGCATCTGCCACGATAATTAATGGTAATAGCAACATAACACTGCTATATTACTTGAGATAATCTATCATGTTTATGGCATGGTTATAATTTCCCTTCAGTAAATTACTTAAAGAGCTAGTTAGACCCTGATAAACCCTAAGCCAGACTAAATAGAAATTTAACACTAAGAGTCTCACACTAGGCCTAAACCCAGTTTGGCCAAAATTAAGTAAAATATTAAGGTAAAAGAGGAACAGGTTTAAAACTCATAATATGTTTGAAAGTTTCAGACGACCAGTACTTATTAATCCTGTTCTTCGACTACATTGCAGTGCTAATGGTGAATCATCTGTGGAAATTTTTTTTAGTTTCGGCTTAGGCTTAATCTGCGTCTGCTAATCTGGCCTATAATAAGAAATACTAGGCATATTGCTTACATTTAAGATGCATTTACTTGCCAATGTATCATTTTTGCAGTGCTCTCTAGCTTTAAGATCATCTCAGCTGTTGGAGGGAGCATCCAAACAATACCCTCTCTCCCATCTCACAATGATCTAAGCACTCTAGTAGAAACTTCTTCTAGAGCTCATTATAACTATCCGGGTATAGTTATTTAAAGAGCACTTTCAGAAGCCCCCCCCAACATACCCTTAGTGAGACGCTGGCGATTGTTGTCTAGCACCCAGCTTCTCAGCATCGTACTGCCAAATCGAACCCATGTGGCCGTGGAACCTCAGCATTTGTGGTGTGGCTCCTGTCTGAGCTCAATGGGACATATCCAACTTGCCATGAGATACCGCTGTGCTTTTTAATTGAGAATTCTGCTGTATTTTTGTAAACCTGAAGTGTATTTATTTTTTAACTGTTCCATTTCTCCTTTTCTTTTTTAAAAAGATGACTACTATAATCGCTCTGTGTACCTATCTATCTCTATATTTCTCTCCACCACACCCTTTCTTCAGTACGGACTTCCGGCTGCCATGCTGTAACAGTGGCTTTATTTCCCCTTTGTATGGTAAACATAGTCCAATAAACA